TGGGGTAAGGGAGAGAGAGAGAGAGAGAGAGAGAGAGAGAGAGAGAGAGAGAGAGAGAGAGAGAGAGAGAGAGAGAGAGAAAGAGAGAAAGAGAGAGGGGGGATGTTTTACGGAGCTGTTTGTTTCAGCACGGGAGACATGTATTTTATAATATCCTGTCCTGGTGAGCGCATGTGTGAGTGCACCTAACCTTTGAAACACCCACTGACATTTTACACGACCAATATAAATTTCTCCCTACGAGTTGAATAAAGATTGTCATTGTCGTTGTTATTGTCATTGTCATTGTCGTTGTCGTTGTCGTTGTTATTGTCGTTGTTATTGTCGTTGTTATTGTCATTGTCGTTGTCATTGTTATTCTTTTAGCTTCTAATGTCTCACGGGGCTCAACAACAACAACAACAACAACCATAAACAACAACAACAACAACCACCACCACAATAAACAACAACAACAACAACAACAACCACAATAAACAACAACAACAACAACCACAATAAACAACAACAACAACAACAACCACAATAAACAACAACAACAACAACAACAACAACAGCTTCACCTAAACAAGCCCATGAGCCGTTTTGATAAACAATAAAGAAAAATTATGTTATTATTTTCAGACTGAAAATTAATCAAGACCCTCCCTCCCCGCCCTGCTTGTTCCACAATAGTATGATGATGGGAGCGGAGATGTTGATGACAGGACAGCCATTAGCATACTCGCTACTTGAGTCATGATTATCTGTCTTCTCATCCCACCCTTGTTTAGATCCACACCGGCCTCCAACATGAAATCATCTGGTCGGAACAGCCCAACGGTCTACCCTTGGACAGCCCAACAATGGCGGACAAGATGAAGGAAGCCGGTTACGCCACACACATGGTGGGAAAATGGCACCTGGGATTTTACAAGGACGAGTACTTGCCCTGGAACAGAGGATTCGATTCCTACTTCGGTAAAGGGGGAGGACAGTACAGAGCAGTACTATGCAACACTTTAATGATAAAGAGAAGGGAAGGCTAAAACTTGCAGTACAATAGTGTCTTACCTGGATACCTGGAGGTGTCATCTCTGTTTTTTTTTGTTTTTGTAAAGTGTTTTACGGCGCTCGCAACTGCATAGGTCATATGAGCACGCGGGACACACCTAATATTTTCAGTTGGTAGGAAATTTTGAATTTTGCCCGGGTGGCGGCCGAAGCCTACACTTATCGATTTTAGACCACCAAGGGATCTTTAACGTGCGCAACTTGCACACGGGCCCTCCGAGATTTTTCGCCCTTGTCCGAGAAGGCTAGGTGTAGATCTTTCCTACCAGAAGATCAGGGGTGTGGCAGAAAGACAGCAGTAAGGTGGAGCCAAGGAGTAGCAGTAGAAAGGCTGCAGAAAGAGTCAGGAGCCCAGAGGAGGGGGCAAAGGAGGTCAGGGGGTGGGGACAGAAAGTGGAAATGAAAGCAGACAACAGAACATTGCTAGAGAGCAGGAAAGGAGGTGAAAGGAGACAATTTTAGAGAAGAAAATATTTCGGTCGCTACCCGGATTCGAACCCGGGACCTTTGAATGAGAGGCCAACACCTTAACCTCTAGGCCACGAGAGCCCCCTGGTGTCATCTCTGACTCAGAGGCTGACCTGTAATGACCCTCCCTCCATCCTTCACAGTCGCGAGCTGCTGTTGTACATTCCGCTATACCCTGGCCAGTCCATGTTTTTATGTTGTCCATCCGCCATGTCTTTCCCTGGCTCTCCTGCCTCACGTCCTTCCTTCAAGCACCTACTACAGAATTATGTATATGTGAGGCAGCGTGGTGGAATCAGGCTCTCGTCAAAATAATCAGAGTGAAGAAACTTGCATTTTTCAGCAGGTTTGTGAATTTTTATCGAATTTTTGTTTTTTGGCTCAACACCTTTCATGCCCATTAAAGAACTCATTTCTGTGAGGATTTTTCAGAAAAAAAAACTTTCCTTAATTAAAGGCACAACAATTGTAATTTTTCAGTTACCACGGACTCTTAAGTTAAGGAAATAACTAATCTTTGGCGGCCATTTTCTCACTAATTTTACTTCTGAAAACAGGTGACCCCCACCTCCTTTTTTCGCAAGTATCTCAACTTTTATTCAAGATAAATGGATATTTTTTCATTCAAATAAAGACAAGTGAACAGGCTTTAAGATGATACCAATAACTCTACATGTCGAAAAATTTGACGAGAGCCTGATTCCACCACGCTGCCTCACATTTCACAATGGTGGCGTGTCGTTTTAAGTTGCCCAAGTATTGTATTTTCCTATATTTTATTTTATTTAGCAGGGTTTGTCTTGGGTGGAGAATTTAACACAATAATGAAATAAAATGTAGAAAAATACAAATATTGTCTTTGGAACGTTAGACCCACACACCTGACCATCAATGATTTATTTATAGAGGCACCAGCCATCCATGTCCAGGTGCTGTTTAAGCCAGACCTACACACCACAATACAGCACAATACAAAACAGTACAGAACGATGCAGGACAATGACATGCAACAAAATACAATTTATAAGTTCTTGAAGTGTCAAATATAACATACATTGAGATATTATCCTTGAGGCGTGAAACCCAACGTAATGCAATGTCATGCTAATTCAGCAAACGGCGTTATAACTAAGGAGTGGGAGGCAATCGGTGTCAAAAAATAAAAACGGTATGGTTGCGCTACCAGACAGACAAAGACCTTCCTCTATAATCCGTGTATCCAGACAAAGACTTTACTGTATAACCCGTGTATCCAGACAAAGACTTTACTCTATAATCCTTGTATCCAGACAAAGACTTTACTGTATAATCCTTGTATCCAGACAAAGATTTAACTGTATAATCCTTGTGTCCAGACAAAGACTTTACTCTATAATCCTTGAGTCCAGACAAAGACTTTACTCTATAATCCTTGTATCCAGACAAAGACATTACTCTATAATCCTTGTATCCAGACAAAGACTTTACTGTATAATCCTTGTATCCAGACAAAGACTTTACTCTATAATCCTTGTATCCAGACAAAGATTTTACTCTATAATCCTTGTGTCCAGGCTATCTGACCGGAAGTGAGCAGTATTTCAACCACAAGCGGAAGTACGTGGACGGCAAGGAATACCTGGACCTGTGGGACAACCAGGGGCCCGTGTATAACGAGACGGGTCACTACTCGGCCAATCTCTTCACGGAGAAGGCTATTGACCTGGTGCGGGGCCATGGTCAGAAAAAGGTATGTGTGTGTGTGTGTGTGTGTGTGTGTGTGTGTTGTGTGTGTGGGTGTGTGTGTGTGAGTATGTGTGTGTGTGTGTGTGTGTGTGT